GCGATGTGAAATCTTCGCTCTGAAAGTACATCCCCGTGTCCGTGATAGAAACAGCGAGACATACCGCAAACATCCATATTCGTCTTCAACAATTGCGAAGTATTAAGGTGAAGTGAAACCCCCTTCAAATTAGTCGATTCGAATACAACATTTTTATTTAAGGGTATTAGACCAAACTATCCGAAACTTTGACACATCACTCCTGATCATCTAAGAATTGTCCTGACACATTCAAAATTTCTATTTTTGGAAGAAATTGTTTAACTTAGCCCAGTCCAGAACCAAAATGTCGTCGAGCTCTCATATTTCAATGGATATACAATTATTGAATGCTCTGATATGAGAATCGAAAGGGTCAGGACAATTTTACGACAATTTAGAACACTCTGATAATCGACAAACTCGCATTTGAACGGGATAAAGGCAAAAAAAGTGTTTTCTAAGCTTCTATGCTAAAACGATGGGAATACAAGGTCTCGGAGTGAAAATGTAATTCACCTGGAAATCACAGATGGCGCAGAGGGTCCCTCTGCAGTCAATTAGAGCCCCAGAAAGCATGAATCCAGAGGATCTCTGGAGTTTCACTTCGATTTCTTGATATTTATTGTACGAAAACGACAGGTGGAGTATGCCATTTGGTACAATATCCAATATAATTCGACCCAGCTGTCGATATAAAAACGAATGTCGGCAACGTAGGCATTTAGAAAAATCTTCTCTATCGACGTCGACCAAGTTCCTCGATGTGTTTCACTTCACCTTAAGGTGAAGTGAAACCTCCTTCAAATTAATCGATTCGAATACAACACATTTTTTTAAGGGTATTAAATCAAACTGTCCGAAACTTTGACACATCACTTCTGATCATCTAAGAATTGTCCTGACACATTAAAAATTTGGATTTTTCAAAAAAATTTTTTAACTCAGTCCAGATCAGAACGAAAATGGCGTCGAGCTCTCATATTTCGATCGATATACAATTATCGAAGGCTCTGATATGAGAAACGAAAGGGTCAGGGCAATTTTACGACAATTTAGAACACTCTGGTAATCGATAAACTCGCATTTGATCGGGATAAAGGCAAAAAAAGTGTTGTATGCGCTTCTATGCTAAAACGATGAGAATAGAAGGTCTCGGAGTGAAAATTTAATTCACCTGGAAATCACAGATGGCGCAGAGGGTCCCTCTACAGTCAATTAGGGCCCCAGAAAGCATGAATCCAGAGGATTTCTGGAGTTTCACTTCGATTTCTTGATATTTATTGTACGAAAACGACAGGTGGAGTATGCCATTTGGTACAATATCCAATATAATTCGACCCAGCTGTCAATATAAAAACGAATGTCGGCAACGTAGGCATTTAGAGAAATCTTCTCTATCGACGTCGATCAAGTTCCTCGATGTGTTTCACTTCACCTTAACAGTTAGTCCCAAGAAAAATCGAAAACACGAGTAAACAAGAGAAGCAGCGTCTTCGATTCCAGATATGCAATATTCCACCCACCTGACCCGTATGCACGTGTTTTCAATAAAGTAATCGGAAATAAGGACTTTCACCGAACTTCCCACATTGTGTCAACGATAAAATTAAACAAGACGTTTTCCAAACTTTCATCCGCATCTCCCACCATGAGTCAGCTTCAATATCGAATAGTCGGATGACGACTACGCACAATCCGATAATTCCCGTCGGACGAAACTCCCACTGATGGCTATTTATTGCCTTCACGAATTGCTGGGAGCCCGTCGCCTCCTTGTTCTCGGCCCACAAATTGTTATTTATTGCTGAGTCGAAAATTGCAATCTAACCTCGATACCCAATACGGGCCTCTAAACCACTCACCCCGGTAGCTCTTTACTCCCCTAGTGGAACCTCGACCACGACCTTGAGAACCCATTGACTCCCTTGCTTTGAGGGGAACCTTAACCTGTCCTTCATCCCCCTTGTGAATAACGACTCTGCCGTAAGCCGAAAGCGAAGTAACCTTTTAACCGTAAACTTTAATTGATTGAACCAAAAGTTAAACGCCCCATTCAATTTCCATCACCCTCTTAGCGGTCAAGCAAGACATTTACAGGAGCTCCTTGTTCGAGTGAAATTCACGATACTATACAAGGTGTTTACGATTATATCTTAATTACCCTACTTGGTAAAAAAAAGAGCACCATCTAATAATCAAACTTGTACATATCTGATAACCACATGTATCGTTAAGGTGAAGTGAAACCCACTTCAAATCAGTCGATGCGAATACAACACTTTTTTTTAAGGGTATTGGACCAAACTGTCCGAAACTCGCTAAAAAAAAAGAGCACCATCTAATAATCAAAGTTGTGCATATCTGATAACCACATGTATCGTTAAGGTGAAGTGAAACCCCTTTTAAATCTGTCGATTCGAATACAACACTTTATTTTAAGGGTATTGGACCAAACTGTCCGAAACTCGCTAAAAAAAAAGAGCACCATCTAATAATCAAACTTGTGCATATCTGATAATCACATGTATCGTTAAGGTGAAGTGAAACCCCTTTCAAATCTGTCGATTCGAATACAACACTTTATTTTAAGGGTATTGGACCAAACTGTCCGAAACTTTGTCACATGACTCGTGATCATCTAAGAATTGTCCTGACACATTCAAAATTTGGATTTTTCAAAAAAATTTGTTAACTCAGCCCAAACAAGAACCAAAATGGCGTCGAGCTCTCATATTTTGATCAATATACAATTATCGAAGGCTCTGATGTGAGAAACGAAAGGGACAGGACAATTTTACGACAATTTAGAACACTTTAGTAATCGATAAACTCGCAATTTGAACGGGATAAAGGAAAAAAGTGTTTTATGCGCTTCTATGCTAAAACGATGGTAATACGAGATCTTGGAGTGAAAATTTACTTGACCTGGAAATCATAGATGGCGCAGGGGGTGCCGCTGCAGTCAATTAGGGCCCCGGAAAACATGAATTCAGAGGATTTCTGGAGTTCTACTTCGATTTCTTGATATTTATTGTACGAAAACGACAGGTGGAATATGCCCTTTGGTACAATATCCAATATAATTCGACACAGCTGCCGATATAAAAACGAACGTCGGCAACGTAGGCATTTAGAAAAATTTTCTTTATCGACGTCGATCAAGTTCCTCGGCGTATTTCACTTCACCTTAAGCACAATGAAAGAAGATTACTATATCTTGGTAATTATGAGTATTTTATCCTAAACAATGTATGGTACTCTCTGATTTGCACACATTTTACTTTTGGATCTTACGATTTTTTTTTAGCGAAAAATGTTTTTACGTACGTTAAATATAAGAAGTAAAAATGTATATGAATATATAATCATTGATAAGATGAATAAAATTGGTGTAATTAGTGATTTATTATTCGACTGGTTAAATGCGTTGATGCTTCGTTTTAATTATTATTACTACAAAGATTAAATGTGTAGTCGACTTTTTCTTGTATCCTCGCGGTATCCTATTAAGTGATGATCAGGCATTTGAATGGACATAAATCACACGGAGTCTCTGAAACGTATTCTTAATAACTTGCTCGTCAGATTACGAAATGTCGTTGTAGTAATAATGAGTGACTGAAGCTATGGTTAACCGTTATGCCCGTAAAAACATAATTATATTAATTACGCAATCGCGGTGAGAAAAAGACAGAGTAGACGGTTAAATGAAGATAATTGAATCCATTACATTCTAGATGAAAGTCATGAATGATCTCGATTCGAGATCTATATCTTAAATTGGCTGTCACTGCGCTAACCCAATTATAACAGAAAATGATAATGACAATGCGGGTAACAATTCTTGAGAAATAGTACAATGTTATTTCTTTATATAATCTTCTATTGAATGTCATCTTTATGAGAGGACACGAGCAATGAAGCTAACCATAACAGCAATCGCAATTGTCGTACTGCATTTATTGAACTTCTTAGAATAGACGTTCACATTTCAACCAATCATTTTTATTTCGAGGAATAGAATTAACATGATTATACCTTGACACAGTGTAACCTTTTTACCCTTACGCATCATACCGACGCATTTCAGAGAAATGATTAATATTTATGAGTTGGATTGAAATCCTCGAATCGTGTCAAGCTCTGTAATTGGTTTATTTATTAAACGAAAAATATATGACCCTTTCTCCCGAATCAATTCAAAGATGGATGTATCACAACCGATATATCCATTTTTTAATTGATTCGGGAGAAAGGGTCATATATTTTTCGTTTAATAAATAAACCAATTACAGAGCTTGATACGATTCGAGGATTTCAATCCAATTCATAAAGATACTGGAGTATCGATTGAGTCCAAAAAATTGTAAATAAAGGATCGTAACAGAAAATGTCGACAGAAATTAAAAATTCTCCGGTGCTATCTTAAAAAGTCTAATGTAAATTGAAATAAAACCCTTAAAAAATGCGGTACATAATTCTTAGTCAATATTCTTAATAATCGTAACCTTAAGATCCAGCTCTCAAAATGACTTTCCATCGCAGAGAAACACGTTGAATTGAATAATCGGCACTGTTGAAAGATAATCTATAAACACTCATTCCTTCTTGATTTACTTTTTCTCTCTAACGTTATATTATTCTCAACTATTTTTAGACACTCTCAATTCGGTTAGATTTTGGAGCAACATGTTATGATTAATAACTGAAAGTAATCGGTATACCAATGTTACAGCCTACCATGGATCCATCCATACCAGGTCGAACACCACGTGCAATGCACATACAAAAATCACGCCAAAATGAAAATAATCCTCTAAGCCACTTAACCATATTTCCCAAAATTAACACATTGACTGCCACGTCACCCATATTCTGGTGACATAGCAGTCAAATAAAATGCGCGGGGCAGTCAACGTGTTAAAGGAAAAAATCCTTACATCGACTAGTGGCAACAAACCTATGATTACTACCCACTATTAATTCCCGAAAACAATCGCTAATTCAAATCCTTCGAGGTATCCTCGCCAAAATCACTGTCTTTCCTTTTTAAAGATATTCAGATTCTCAGCACCACGTAATGGGGAATTTAGATCGCAAAATTCTGAAAAAAAGAAAAATGTACTCACCATCTCGTCGAGGCTCTTCAGATCATTTGTAACGATCTGGGGCTGAGGGCCGTAAATAAGGCAAGGCTCCTCCTGGTGCATCTCGCCGTATTCGTCGTCGCTGTCGTCGTTGGCACCGCCGTTGGCAGCTTTGTTCTCGGCAGCGATCTCGCGGTCGATCTGACGTTCCATCTGAACCAACATCGGGGCGAGCATTCCGAATTTGGCTCCTCTCCTAGCCACTTCCAGGAGGCAGAGTATAACGTGACGCTCGTTCTTCCTCATGATCAGGTCGTCGGTCTCGAAGAGGAGGCACTCGATGATGCCGAGGCTGTTTCGGCACCAGGCGATGAAGTTCGAGACATTGTCTCTAGCGAAGAAGGTCCCGGCCTTCGCGTTGGGCAGAAAAGCGACGTCGCTCAGCTGACTCATAGGCATCGCCAGAGACGACGTTATGGATCGGGTCATGACTTTGCGGGCCTGCCGCCGGGCCACGTATTCCCCTGCGGATTTCCGCACGTTGTTGGCGTGCTGGAACAGGAAACGAACAGCGTCTTAGGCAAAATGAAGAAAAAGAAGATCATGTATGCACATTGATAAGGAACGTTGCAAGACCGACGGCTCAACCCCAATCCCAGGGTTTCCATCATCGTCTGTCTCGTTTCTCATTCGACGCAAATCCCTTAAGGTGAAATGAAACATGTCGAGGAATTTGATCGACGTAGATAAAGATTTTTCTAAATGCCTATGTTGCCGACGTTCGTTTTTATATTGACAGCTGGGTCGAATTATGTTGGATATTGTGCCAAATGGCATACTCCAGCTGTCGTTTTCGTACAATAAATAAATAATAATTGACCTCTCAGATGCAATTTTTGTATTACCTTAAGGTGAAATGAAACACGTCGAAGAACTTGATCGACGTCGATAAAGAAAATTTTTCTAAATGCCTACGTTGCCGACGTTCGTTTTTATATCGGCAGCTGTGTCGAATTATATTGGATATTGTACCAAAGGGCATATTCCACCTGTCGTTTTCGTACAATAAATATCAAGAAATCGAAGTAGAACTCCAGAAATCCTCTGGACTCATGCTTTCCGGGGCCCTAATTGACTGCAGAGGGACCCCCTGCGCCATCTGTGATTTCCAGGTCAATTAAATTTTCACCCCGAGATCTCGTATTCCCATCGTTTTAGCATAGAAGCGCAGAAAACACTTTTTTGCCTTTATCCCGTTCAAATGCGAGTTTATCGATTACCAGAGTGTTCTAAATTGTCGTAAAACTGTCCTGACCCTCTCGATTCTCATATCAGAGCCTTCGATAATTGTATATCGATCGAAATATGAGAGCTCGACGTCATTTTGGTTCTGGTCTGGACTAAGTTAAACAATTTTTTCACAAAATGCAAATTTGGAATGTGTCAGGACAATTCTTAGGTCGATCAGGAGAGCTGTGTCAAAGTTTCGGACAGTTTGGTCTAATACCCTTAAAAAAAAGCATTGTATTCGAATCGACTGATTTGAAGTAGGTTCCATTTCACCTTAATTGTAGAGCCGCGGGATAAGTTATGTGAATGCTGACTGTGGGATAAATGTTGACAATGGAAATAAAACAAGCTTAAGGATGAAGCGAGGGGGAGTGCACTCAGGAAATCATGGATTTTAACACGTGACTGCCTAATCGCAATGTTATTTATTATATGAAATGAGCGACAATCGGCTCTCAAAGAAGGAAATCATGTTCACTGATTTCCTGGTAAATAGCCCCTCGGGCTGAGGCATGTGTCAATCGATCTGATTAAAAAGCGGATTCAACGTATTTTAAAAATTACTAACACCCTAAGTGTCGTAGAGGTCATTGATGATCAGCACTCTTATTGTAAGAGTTTATTCGTAATTTATTGTCGAGTTTAGCGAGTTAAATAAATAAAGGAAGTTCGTATAAATTGTGGATGGATTATCTAGGAATTTAGGATTTTTTAATATGCCTGGTTTGAATGAAAATGAATTTAGATGGAAGAAGATGGATGAAACTAATCCTGCAAAGAATGACGATAGGACCAATAATTGATTTTTGAAGCTGGTTTGTTCTTTGTTTTGAAATAATTTATACGCCACACTGCTTGCTAATGCTAGTAAAATGTGAAGTACATACTTATAGGCCAATGAATATTTATTACTCGGCATGGTTTGGTTTCAAATTATTTAGGTACCAAAGCGTTCTCACGATACGAGGCTGACTTTATTTGAAGATATCGTATTAACCCTTTTTAAGTAACGGCTACAGGCCGCGGCACTCGATTAATTAGAGGATTGCACAAGGTACTGTGCAATCTTTATACGAAATGATACATAATTGCAAATAACTCATGCATAATGCGGTACCACACAGCGGTATCAATGTATTAGGGCAATGAACTGATCTCATTTGTGTGGCAGTGTTGTTCGGCTTATCAATATCATATGTCCTGAATAATATGATAAGCTTTAAAATTGCGAATATGTATAATTATCGACAAAGAAGCGATTGCGGCTATTTGCCAAGCAACGATAATGCTTAATCGCGGGTTAATTTATCGTTCGACTGTTTCTGCTGGAACAAAATGTTGGCAAAAAGATGACAAATAAAGGCGGAATCAATTGTTCCGTTTCGACATCGATCTTTTTCGGGGAACAAAGGAAAGCCAAGTTCCGAGGCATATAACATTGCAACTCCTCTTTACACGGCCTATGGTTCCAAGAGGACGTTACGTAATTCTGTACGCTTTTAAAGTTAACGCGCTACAAGGTACTAAGTAGATGTAATTGTGGAATATTCAAGGATCTCATTTGCAAGCGTATATCATTATGCACCGTAGTCAGGTGTTTACGACCGATCGGTGCTTTAACATTCCCGTTTGTTGCGACGATCGTTTGCAAACGACGTAAAAGATAAAATTAAACCTTAGATAAAATCGAAGATCCGTAAGTACAGCCGACTGTAACCTGGAGTAATGGGAGCATTAGCATGTTAAGAAAATTAGATCGAAGGGGTGCATTAGACAGATTGCGGCTCTAAAAACCTACATTACAATCTACCCATTTTTTTAACGACCGTTAAAAGCCACTTATCTTCAATTACCGTCGATATGTTACTTGATATTATTTACGAGAAAAGCGGCCTCATCGAGGTCTAGAAAAATATCACTTGATCCCAAATTTCATTTAATTTTAGCCGTAATGCAAGAGAAAGTAGGAAATTCAAATTTCTGCCTTGCGTACTTGGACTACGTATGAGTTAAGGTGAAGTGAAACACGTCGAGGAACTTGATCAACGTCGATAAAGAAGATTTTTCTAAATACTACGTTGCCGACGTTCGTTTTTATATTGGCAGCTTTCTGGAATTATATTGGGTACTGTACCCCAAAGACATACTCCACCTGTCGTTTTCGTACAATAAATATCAAGAAATCGAAGTAAAACTCCAGAAATCCTCCGGATTCATGTTTTCCGGGGCCCTAATTGACTGCAGAGGGACCCCCTGCGCCATCTGTGATTTCCAGGCCAATTAAATTTTCACTCCGAGACCTCGTATTCCCATCGTTTTAGCAAAGAAGCGCATACAACACTTTTTTTGCCTTTATTCCGTTCAAATGCGAGTTTATCGATTACCAGAGTGTTCTAAATTATCGTAAAATTGTCCTGACCCTTTCGATTCTCATATCAGAGCCTTCGATAATTGTATATTGATCGAAATATGAGAGCTCGACGCCATTTTGGTTCTGGTCTGGACTGAGTTAAAAAATTCTTTTGAAAAATCCAAATTTTGAATGTGTCAGGAAAATTCTTAGATGATCAGGAGTGATGTGTCAAAGTTTCGGACAGTTTGGTCTAATACCCTTAAAAAAAAGTGTTGTATTCGAATCGACTGATTTGAAGGATGTTTCACTTCACCTTAAATCGCTCGTGTGCGATCAGGAACGAATTCTTAATTTCTAGAAATCATATTCTAAAGATTTTTCGACCACTTGTTGCGATTCATTATTCTCTTTTTTTCCGAGAGCCGTTCCTTACTCTGTTGATTTTATAGTCCATTCGTATGCAAGATAGATCATCATCTCGTCTAATTTCTTCCCCAGTTTTCCGAACAACTGAGTCAGACGAGTGCTCGTAAAACTCAGCTTGAAGTATTTTTGCCTTTAGGGGAAGTTACCGGACGCGGTGGTAACGCAACTTCGCAGTTGCGTTAGGCGCGCGAGGTTAACGCGATCTGGAAGAGCGCGGTCTCTCTCGGTGAAAGGCAAGCAACGAGAGATCTGGAGAGGCCGACGAATGAAAAGAGAGGACACGTCAGGTTGATACCAAATTATTAATCGCCGTGTCTGCTCCACGCGTAGGTAAATGAGCTAGGGCGAAACAGGGGATGCTCTCATGCAAGGGTGAAAGAAAGAAATGCGACCAAAATGTTTCTCAACGGAGCGAAAAGGGATGAAAGGAACAGAAACGGGATGATAGATAATAGTAATAACGGAATACCAGACGAAACTTACGCAGAAGGACATGTTACCGAAGTGAACCGATCCATTGAAAATTTCGTTAATCATATAAATTGCCGGGGCGAACTTGCAAATATATTCGCATCTTGTGAAACCAGAAGCAGGCCTCTTAAGGGGTTACACCACTTTGACGCACCCAAAAATTACGGTTTTTTCAAGATTTTTTTTTTAAGAGTTAAAACGTTTTTATCCAAATTAAAGTACTGTAAGGTATTATACTACTATTAAACTCGCTCACTGCGAAAATCGGTGATCGTGCGGTAGGCAGGTGTATAGGTGTAAACGCGTTTTTTTTTAAACTGCATTTTAAAAATCGGTGGGCACCCTAGCTCCGCCAATTTTCAATCAATCGCCTTGATTCTTTTTTTATTTTATTCGCGATATGTTTATCTAGCGAAATACGTATGGTTTTTTCAATGTATTCCTATTCGCATTTTTTATGCACCATTAATTAACGAAATTTAGGGCAAAATACGTATCTTTCCTTTCAAATCGATGCCATTTTGTGAAAAATGCATATTTTTGAAAACGGCTACGTATTTCGCTAGCTTTTGGGCTACAGAAACTAATTCTTTTTCGTTTATTGTTCTAACTTAAACCTGGACTGCGTTATCGTGCCCACCGCACGATCATCGATTTTCGCAGCGCTCCGGTAAATCGCCTTTCAAGCCGCCATTTTTGTAAATAAGAAAAATACAAAAAAAGCATTTTTTTGTTTAATAGTAGTATAATACCTTACTGTACTTTAATTTGAATAAAAACGTTTTAATTCTTGAAAAAAAATTCTTGAAAAACCGTAATTTTTGGGTGGGTCAAAGTGGTGTAACCCCTTAAGTGATTTATGCAAAGATGTTGTTGATTACAGAATGGGAGTACTGATCGCGTGACATCCCGACTTTTGAGAAACACCTGAGGCTCAGTAGATGAATGTTGGATGAGCATAGGTACTTAGTTTGGGGGACATGGTTTAACCCTTTTAATGTCCATCTCAAAT